TTTTTAACGGCCCAAAGTGGTTCCCCCCCCGGGCCCCGCTGTTTGGGGGTCAGGTAGAAAAAGAACCCCCCCCCCCCCCCCCCGGCGGAAAAACCCACCCGCCCCCCTGTCCGCCGTCCCCCCCCCCCCCCCAACATCAACACCCAACCCACCCGCCCATCCACCCACCAAACCCGCACCCGCGCGCGCCCGCACCGGCGCTGCGCGTCATGCTCCGCAGCCGCAGGGTCTGTTGCTCTCTGCCGTGCTCGCGCGGCGGTCCCGCCGGGCCCCGCGCCCTCGCCGCCCGGCCGGGGCTGGAGAGGCTCAGCAGAGGTGGATGCCGCGCTCCTCGCACACGGCCACCAGCTCAGGCTGCTCCTCGTTGTCCACGCGGAGCGTCTGCACGCGAGGGGAGGTGCGATGAGCATTGGGCGGGGGAGGTGGGTGTGGCGAGGGCGCGTCTCGCGCCTTCAAGCTCGGGGCGGCCCCCTCCTTGAGGGCGGCGGCCAGCGCCTTGCAGCCCTCGTCGCCAATCTTGTTGTCCAAGAGATAGAGCTCCTCGAGCCGCGGCGCTGCCCCGCTCGCGAGGATCTCCGCCAGCTGCGCCGCCTCCGCGTCGCCCCAGCCGAGGCTGTAGTAGCTCAGCTCGGTCGCCTTGCCAAACTGCTCCTTGAAGGCGGCCTCGTACAGCCGCTTCACCAGCGGCTTGTCGTCCTTGCCGTTGGTGAAGCTCTTCTTCTCAAGCTCCGCCGCGAACGCAGACGGCAGCAGCGGAGGGCGCCGGCCGCCGTCCTGGGTGCAGTCGGCTCGGAGGCTGCCGAAGTCGTACTCCACGCCGTCGCGCATCTTGCCGAGGTCGAGCGAGAGGAAGCCAGCCTTTGTCAGGCCAGCCCAGCTCTGCTCCGTGAAGCACCAGCCGCGGTCAAAGTACTTGGCCACGTTGGTGCCCTCGCTCTGATCCTCCGCCTTGTGGCCGTCCGGGAAGGAGGTCAGCCGCAGCACCCAAGTGTGCTGGTGGGAGTAGAGCGTGCCGAGGCAGCTCAGCCCCTGCTTGAAGAGCGCGTTCTGCTCGTCAGTGCGCATGACGCCGTTGGGGGGGTCGGGGTGCTGGTGCAGCGAGCCGAAGTCCCAGAAGACGCCGAGCCGCGGGAGGAGGTCGGGACGGCTGAGCAGGGCCTTCAGCGCCCTTGCGACGCGGGCGAGGTTGGCTCCGAGCGGGTCGGGGTGGTCCTTGGTCAGCCACGGGTAGGAGAGCGCTCCGACGGGAAGCCAGCCATACTCGCCGGTCGCCTCGACGAGGTCAGCGAGGGAGAGGAAGGCCTCCTTGGGCAGCGCCTGGCGGTGGGTGAGGACGCCGCCCGCCTCGGCGTGGCGGATGATCCACTGCGCGTCGAGGAGGGCGGCGGCGCCGCTCGCGAGGACACGCTCCAGGTCGCCGCCGCCGAGCTTGCGCCACAGCTTCAGCTTCTGCTTGTAGGTTAGACCCGGCTTGCTCGTGCCCGGCTTGCTCGTGCCGCAGCCCATCGCTTCGCCTGCCTGTGTAAGGCCGATCGACTTTAGAAAAAAAGAAAAACCATGCAAAGCGACGCCACCTTGTTTGTCTTGTGGTTCTGTGTGTCGCTCCTGTGTGACCGTCATCGCCCGTCCTGCGTCCACCCATACCGCGTTGGTGTCCCAGTCGTTGGTCGGACTGTGTTTCGCCGTCCCATCAATATTCGTTTACGTTGAGGTGATGTGGAGTCTGGCCGCGCGGCGGGCGGCGGGACGGACGTAAGATAATTTGTTTGGGGGTGTTCGACCGGGCTAGCTCTTCTTCTTGGCACTTGAGCCACCACGATGTACTCGATGGCGAGTGGCGTGCCGTCGGGCGCATGCGAGTTCGGGTCCGCGTCGGCCACCTAGTCAAGATCCCATCAAACGCTAACTTTTGGGATTTAATTTATTGGCGCCTCGAGCACCGCGGCGGCCACCTCGAGCACCGCCTCTGCCAGAGGGCGGGTGAGGCCCCTCCTGTGATTGATGATTACGGACTAGTGATTTGGCGGTATGTAAGGCGACAGGGTAGAGCGAGGCCCGTCCACCTCGCGCGGCTCATCAGCACGGCCTCCTCGTGCGCGTCGAGGTCAGCGACGCGGTTCCAGAGCAGCGCCACGCCGTCGAAGGTCGCGCCGAGGGTGGAGAGCACGCGCAGTAGCTTGTCGATGGCGAGATGTACCTGCTCCTCTCCCGAGCGAGGCGCGGATCTCTCGCCGGACGCGGCGGAGAGCGAGAAGAGGGCGAGGTCCGCCTATCTGGCGAATATTAAACCATTCATTACTATTGATTAGCTAATCTGTATCAGCAGGCGAGAAGAGAGCGAGGTCCGCCGGTCCGCAGACGGCGTACGCCGGCACGTATGGCATGAAGTGCCTCTGACCTCCGACCGAGTATACGCTGCTCTCCTCGTCGACGGCGTCGAACTGCGAGACGAGATCCACCCGCACCTGATCCAGGATGAGCAGCCAATGACTAAACGCATCGAAGTCATATTCCTCGCCGCCAGTCTCGGCTGCTAGTCTCGGCTAGTCTCGGCTCTCGCCGTCTCGGCGGTCTGGCCAAGCTCGGCCCCTTCGAGGCCAAACATGGCAAAAGTCTCGATCAGGAAGCGCCTACAGTTCTGATGTCGGCACTGGTATCTGGAACCAGACCTCTTGGCAAATGGTCTCTAACTCGAGCAGGGAGCGCCGGTCCGAGACGTTGCCTGAAGTCTCGAACGTGGCGAGCGTAGTGGCGAGGCCCATGCCCAGCTCCTTGCAAGCGGCGCGCGAGATGTCTGCCGTTACGCGTGCGTTGGCGGCGAAGCCCTGGCCGCGGTTGCTCACCCAGTGCAGCAGCTGCGCGTGGCGACGGCTGCGCTCGATGCACCCGCCATCGAGGTGAAACGGAAGCTCATTCTCTCCAAGCGCGTCCAAGATGTCGCGGACCGTTTTGAGGTTGGCCCTCACTTGGCTCGCCATGTCGAAGTGGAGGTGGTCGAACTGCGACGGATCGTGCGGGTGCGAGTGGTAGAACGGGCCCGGCGTCGCACCACTGAGCAGGAGCAGCGGGCAACTCGGTCGCAGTCGCTCCACGTGGACGCCGTGGACAGAGCAGCTGCCGACGGTGGTGCACCAGCGGGCGAGGCCGCTGCGAAGAGAGGACTGCCATTTTCCATTGGAGGCCGTCATGCGTTTGCCCGGGAGGGCGCAACAGGGCAAACTGTGAGTTGAATCGATGATGCGATCAGGCGTAACAAGCGCGATTGCACAAGGGGTGGAGGAGGGTCTGGCCACCACGGGGCGAGGGAGGCGGCGGGCCAGATGCCGGATCCGCTGTGCGCGTTCGTCGGTCAGGGCGCGGCGCTGACCGCGGCGGCCTGGGCCGCGGCGGCGGCGAACGCCGACGGCGGCGGACCATTCCAGCGGCTCGGCGAGGGCCGGGGCGCGGCGTTGCGGGAGGCGTGGACGGCGGAGGCGGTGCGCACCGTGCCCGCGGAAAGGCGGGCGGCGGCGGGCGACGCCGACGAGCTGTTCGCGTACGCCCGTCCGCCCACGAAGAGGGAGAGGCTCGAGAAGGGCGAGCGGCGCGCCGAGCAGCACCAGGGGTGGGTCAATCAAAGGGTGGGGGGTATGGTCCTGACCGCCCATCCCCGGTCTCCGGGAGGCTGGGTCTGTCTGCAGGCGGGGGGGGTATGGTCTCGAGGGCGCGAGAGTACCATACCATACCCCGCAAAAAGTCAATCACCTTGTCGTCATCATCTGTCCAGCGTCCACCCATACCGCGTCGGTGTCCAGTCCGAGCCTCCAGGCTGATGTATCTGTCAAGGATCGACTTCCAGGGAAAAAGAAAAAAGAAAATCCCCGCTGGATGTGAGGCTAATGACTGCACTCCCAAGTGCTCCAAGTGCTCCGACGAAAACGCAGCCGCACTCTCGACTCAGCGCAGCTAGTCGTACACGGTGAAGCACTCCTCCCTCCCCCCCTGCTGCACCGCCGCTGTCGCGGGCGCCGCTTGCCCCGCCTTCCCCGCCTTGGCCGCGGCCTATTGCAAGAACACCCGCGAGGAAGAGCTGAGCTGGGTGGTGAGTGCTCGAGTCTTGGCGAGGGGGGGTCCGCCGAGGTTAGCTGTGCGGTGTCCATTGAACGCCCACCCACTCTCGGCTGGCTTACCTCCCTCCGCGCGGCGTCGCGCTCCCGCCGCTCGCGCGCCTTGGCCTCCTGCCTCGCCCGCAGCGCCCTCGCCTCCTCCGCCGTCAGCGCCGGCCTCGGCGGCGGCGGAGGGATCAGCCGCTGCGCCTAGGAGACGAAGGAGCAAGCTTGAAGATCGATTAAGGAGGAGCGTCGTAGTGGCGGTCGCTGCTCAAGCGCCTCGTGCTTTCGATGCATCTCCTCCCACCACCGCTCCAGCGAGCGAAGATTCTCCTCGGCTTGCTCCCGCAGCGCGGTCGTGCAGACGCGCTGGTGCTGTAGCGTTTGCGCCTGAGGAGAGCAGGTAGGTGATGCCAAACATGTTCGCTTCATACGTGCGCGAGGTGAGGCTTCCCACGCCGCTGAAGCCCTCGGTATCGATGAGGAAGGCGCGCACTGGCTTCTCCTAAACCACGGCTCGAGCTGTAAAGATGACGCCACGCCTCACGCGGAACTGTGTCGCCGACAGGAGGCGGGGTGTGAGCACTGCTACTGCGGTTGCCTCGGAGCTGCCGCGGAGGAGCACTGGCTCCGACGTGATCCACACACCGCCAGTGAAGGAGGTGACGCCGCTCCCAATCTCGAAGAGGTTCTCATCCTCGCCGCGCAGGAAGGCGCGGCCGAGGATTGACGACTTCCCCGTCCGGGTGGGGCCGACAGCAGAGATGATTGCAAACGGCTGCTTCTGCGCACGCAGCACGGCTAGGCCCTGCTGGTCGACTACGAGCCGGCCGATCGAGGAGGCTGGTTTGCGAAAGAGTGGCACTGCTCGCAAAGGCGCTCGCTCGCCCAGCCCTCGTCCCAGCCTCTCGGCCCCGTCTCCAGCCGCTCTGATGACCTCGGCACCCACATCGGGCACAAGCCCCGCCTGGGTAGCAGTGAGAGGTCAGCATGTGCGACGGGTGGGTGTGTGTTTCTGTGCGTGTCGTTGCACAACTGTGCCTTGCTCGCGTATGGCCGCTACTTTTGAGAGCCGCCGTGGTCTGTAGGTGTTGCGTCGCCGTTCTCGCTTGGGTCCTACTGGTCTCTCTACCCTGCGCGCCTCGATGCGCAGAACGAGCTCTCTAAACTGGTGCAGGCTCAGTTGATCCAGCGCGGAGTGGAAGGGCGAGGCGGCTGTTGCACCCGAGAGCAGCAGCCACGAAAGCATCGCGGTTGAACTCTGAGAAGGACGGCCGGAACAACAGGAGTTCGCTTGCGGCAAGAAAAAACAGGAGGCGCGGGGACGCTCACGCGGCACGGACACGGTAAGGGTCAGCTCACGTCAGGCTTCAGCTCTCAGCTCTCAGCAACTCACGATTCTCATTTTTTCAAACGACCCCCCCCCCCCCCCCCCCCTCCTCCCCCCCTCCTCCTCCCCGCCCCCCGTCAAGCAGCAGAGGGCGGCGCAAAGATCGTCGACACGCTGCGAGCGACTCCCCCGAGATCGCAATCTCGCGGCGCGGGATTGCGATCTCACGCCTGGGGCGGGAAGAGGGTGCGGGCGAGGAGACGTCGGCAACACCTCGCCATATCTCGGCAACACCTCGGCTAAGTCTCGGCTGAGTCTCGGCAGAATTCTGGATCTCGGCCGCACCTCGGCCGCACCTCGGCCACACCTCGGCCGCACCTCGGCTGCCTCCAGGCTGCCTCCTGGCTGCCTCCCGCCTCGGCTACCTCTCGGCTACCTCTCGGCTGCCTCTCGGCTAAATCTCGGCTGCCTCTCGGCTAAATCTCGGCTGCCTCCCGGCTGCCTCTCGGCGGACTCTCGGCTAAGTCTCGGCTGCCTCTCGCCTTTTCCATGCTGTCTCGCCCCATCTCCGACGATGTATCTGTCATCGAGTCGCACCTGGCGCCGAGATGCGGCGAGATTGAGCCGAGATTGAGCCGAGATTGAGCCGAGATGCGGCGAGATTGAGCCGAGATGCGGCGAGATTGAGCCGAGATTGAGCCGAGATTGAGCCGAGATGCGGCGAGATTGAGCCGAGATTGACCCGAGATTGACCCGAGATGCAGCGAGATTGAGCCCGAGATCGACCCGAGATGCGGCGAGATTGAGCCCGAGATCGGGCCGAGAGTCTGACGAGATCGAGCCGACTTCCTCCGAGATTAGCCGAGATTGAGCAGAGGGTCTGGTCAGAGAACGCACAGCAAACCAGCGGAAAAGGGGGGGGAGGGGGGGAGGAGGCTCGGCGGCATCTCGGCGGCATCTCGGCGGCATCTCGGGCGCGATCTCGGCGCGATCTCGGCAAGATATCCTCCTGTCGAACCCGCTGGGATCGTTGAGCGGCACCGCCTACCCGAAAAAAGAAATACCACGGTTGGAAACGGGGAAGAAAAAGAGAAAACGGAGGTGCTGGCGCGGCCCGGCACCAGAGGGAGGGAAGGGAGGGGGGGGGGGGG